AGAGAGAGAGAGAGAGAGAGAGAGAGAGAGAGAGAGAGAGAGAGAGAGAGAGAGAGAGAGAGTAGTGCACACCTGAGAACGCGTTGGAGCTCAATGTTGTCAGAGAAACGTTGACGACTGTTTTTGGTGGACAAATTCTCGATCAGGTTCTGCACCTCCTTGTTTTCTACTATCACCTGCAGAAAACACAGTGTGTAGCACAGGTCAACATTTGATATCCAAATCCGTCAGCTTCAAGATACACAACCCACATTCCATTTATAATACTATATCCACCCACAAGCCTTTTTCTTTGTTGTGTGTGTGTGTGTGTGTGTGTGTGTGTGTGTGTGTGTGAGAGAGAGAGAGAGAGAGAGAGAGAGAGAGAGAGGTCTGCATCGTGTGCATACTAATGGAAGAGAGTAAAACACCCAGTGGGCAGTGGGGCTTCCCCTCATTGCAGTCCCAGCAGGCTACTTTGGCAGGGATCCCTGTGTGGGCAATATAACTTCCATGGATTTGAGGAGGTGTCCCCTAGGGGAGGAGATCGCCTCTGCGTAGAGTTGTCCTCTTGTACAGTATACAAGCTCTGCTCTGGAACTTCGCTTTTTTGGTTTCTGTTTTGTAACAGTTCCTCTTGGGGACTCGGGGAACAAGATTTTTGGGTTTCGCTGAACTGGCATTTTTGGTTTTGCTGTATTTTCATCCCTGGCCACCAGACAAGAAACAGTGGACAAAGTTACAAGACAAAGTTGAAGTTGTTGAGAACCTTCAGCGGTGCCCGGCAATTTTTCCATCATGTAGGTATTGGATCGGGGGCAGGCGGGCTGGTGCCTTAGGACTGGGGCCTTTTGGAACAATTGGTGAAGTAAAAACTGTCACAGAGCTGGGATGCAAGTGGGGTGAGAAAAAAATAAATAAATAAATAAATAAATAAAATGGAATGAAACCGCCAGTACTATCCTTTGTGGCACTAGTTGCCTGGCAAGGGGCGGGCTGCAACAGGGCTTCCCTGCCCCCAAACCGCGGCCTTTCTTAGCGGGTTGCCCTGCTGGCTGGGAGGCTTACTAGCAGCACCCCGTCACACTGCAGGGTAACCTCCAGAAAGGCAAGGCGCGGGGG